TGTCAGTTCAGCAAATGCACACATGACTGAACACTAACCAGCAAACCCATCTGTGCACCAGTACAGTACACCTTCTCATATGACATGAGCAACAGTTCTAGATTACATAAAAAATAAAGGCCAATTTACTTTAAAATGAAATCGAAGAACGAACTGGTGTGACTTTACGAACAAAATCTGTAAAGTTAGACGTTGAAGATTTCTTGTAGCTCAAACAGGAGAGCGTTGGCGCTTGCAATGCCAAGGTCATAGGTTCGATTCCCAGAGAAAGCAGGAACTGATCAGAGTGTAAAAATATGTACCTTGATATGCAATAGATAAATCCTCTCTTATGCCACTGTGAGATCCTAGTCTAAAAGAAGTGAAATCTCACCCACCAGGTCTGCTAATGAAGTCACAGTGCCCGATGCCGGCCACCTCCATCCTCTTCAGGAAGAGCGCAGTGGACGTGATGTTTGAATCCAGGATCCGAGGAGGGATCTCAGCGGGCAGCTGAAGGTCCTCAGGATACAAACAGAAGCACTTCCCTTCAAACCAACAGATTCAACATCCATTCACTACTGACAATAGTTATGTTTCCATTTAAAAATTGCGAACTTGTGCTTATAAAACTTAAACTTTTTTATTTATTTATTAAATGAGCGATGGTTTCGCTAGATAAGACCCTTATTCATCGTCTGGTGTCGTTTAAAACCCTTTGAAGCTGCACTGAAACTCTCATTTGGACCTTGAGCCGTTTGGTTCCCATTGAAGTCCATTATATGGAGAAAAATCCTGGAATGTTTTCATCAAAAACCTTAATTTCTTTTCGACTGAAGAAACAAAGACATGGACATCTTGGATGACATGGGGGTGAGTAAATTATCAGCAAATGTGAACTACTCCTTTAAAGAACCCGTTGCTTGAGCACAGATTTTGCTGAAAGTTAACGCACCGGTTGATCCAGTCAGGCGTTTGCGGATTTCAGCTTGACATCTACTGATGGGTCGGGTGACCTCTGAACTGGCTCTCACTCGTGGGTTATATACCTACAAAAACAATGCCACACAGAAAATATGAATCTATTCTTACAAGACTTTTCACTCATATTGCTGCTGAATTCAATTCATTGGTTTTCAGCACACTCACGAATCTCTTCTCTACTCCAGTATCAATGACAAAACTAATGGTGTCCACCGGCCAGAAGAGATCCTCTGATTGGCTACAGGAAATGAAGACCCGTCTACTTGTTTGTAGGCTTTCTGTGATTGGTGGACATATTCCTGTGTGTCCGGGGAACAGAGGAACCACTAACAGCTCTCCCAGAGATGCACTCATTCTGGACGCTTCTTTAGTGAGAATATTACAGGCACACGCAACCTCCTGAAACACACACACACACACAATCATCAACAACACAAAATGTGTTAGAAAAGTAACACCTGAAGTCAATAAGATTCGAGGTAACATTCCTGTCTGTCCGTAGCACAAATGCCATCTAAATGCAAAATGCATGACATAGTTTAATACTCAAGTTCACAAACCCCAAATATGAGCAAACACAGATTAGATTTGTGACGGAGCAGAGAGTCAGTAAAGTGGAAGAGCTGAGTGGACTCATTCATTCAGACGCTGCTGATTCTGCTGAACACAACAGTGTCATTGACATCATGCAGAACATTGTGTGCTGCATCACTGTTACAGTAGCAACTGTTGCTATTGCTAAACGTTATGATAACGGATTTGAACAAACTCGAACACATCTTCTGTGTTTGACTTCTGGCCTTGTTGGTGTGCTATTACTTTTCTAAGCAATCAGACTTAAAAATGAGATCCGACTTTTTCCACATGGCACCAAATAAGAATGAAACATAACATTGAAGGAGGGACTCAAGCTATTTCTACAGACCAGATTATCATAGATACTTGAGCTTGAAACCTACACTACTGTCATTTAAAAAAATAAATGCATACTTTTATTCAACAAGGACGCATTAAATTGATTTAAAAAAAAAGTCGTAAATACATCTGTATTGCAAGAAAAGGTTTCGATTTCAAATAAATGCTGTTCTTTTAAACTTTTTACTCTAAGCATTCTAAAAAAAAGTATTACTGTTTACACAAAAGCATTGCTACGGAAGCCCTGAACCGCAGCATTAAAATAAAAAAATAAAAATCTGTAAAAAAAAATAAAAATAAATCTATAATAATAATAATAATAAATCTATAAAAATAATAAATTTCTTAATAATAAATAAGAAATAGCATTTCGAGATTAAAGTCGAAACGTTTCGAGATTAGAGATTAAAGTCGAAACATTTCGAGACTAAAGTTGAAACATTTCGAGATTAGAGATTAAAGTCGAAACATTTTGAGATTAGAGATTAAAGTCGAAACCTTTCGAGATTAAAGTCAAAACATTTCACGATTAGAAATTAAAATCAAAACATTTCACGATTAGAGATTAAAGTCAAAACATTTCGAGATTAAAGTCAAAACATTTCAAGATTAGAGATTAAAGTCAAAACGTTTCGAGATTAGAGATTAAAGTCGAAACATTTCGAGATTAGAGATTAAAGTCGAAACATTTCGAGATTAAAGTCAAAACATTTCACGATTAGAAATTAAAATCAAAACATTTCACGATTAGAGATTAAAGTCAAAACGTTTCGAGATTAGAGATTAAAGTCGAAACGTTTCGAGATTAGAGATTAAAGTCGAAACGTTTCGAGATTAAAGTCGAAACGTTTCGAGATTAAAGTCGAAACATTTCGAGATTAAAGTCGAAACATTTCGAGATTAAAGTCGAAACATTTCGAGATTAAAGTCGAAACATTTCGAGATTAAAGTCGAAACATTTCGAGATTAAAGTCGAAACATTTCGAGATTAAAGTCGAAACATTTCGAGATTAAAGTCGAAACATTTCGAGATTAGAGATTAAAGTCGAAACGTTTTGAAATTTAAAGTCGAAACGTTTCGAGATTAGAGATTAAAGTCGAAACATTTCGAGATTAAAGTCGAAACATTTCGAGATTAAAGTCGAAACATTTCGAGATTAATCTCAAAATGCTAGTTTTTTTTACAGATTTTTTTTGACACTGAAGACTGGAGTAATGATGCTGAACATGATGTTGATCACAGGAATACATTATATTTTTCACATAGAAAACCCATGCTTTAAATTGTAATCATATTTCACAATATTACTGTATTTTTGTTCGTGTACAGTAAATGGATTTCTGTCCAAAAACATTAAAAAAAAATCTAAAAAGGAAGTGTACTAGTCAGCACATAAATGCTCCCGTCTAATTGGTCAGTGAGAATATTTAGGAGACTAAACTTGAGATCTCCAGTTTCTGAATCATCCCTGCTTAGGGTGGAATTTGCAACAACTCAGGAACAACAACTTCCCACATTTTTGCTCCAATAACATGCATTACATAAAAGTACATGAGCTGTTGCAATGCACTAGCGCACGTCACCTCACCTGCTCAGAAGCTAAAAACACTGCCACGTCTCCAGGCTCTCTGGATCGATGGACCTCCAGAGCGAGTCTCAGAGCCGAATAGAAGCTCTCCGAACCGCTGCTGTTGCTGTGGATCACTTCACCGGCGCCCGGGGCTTCCACCTGCAGGCGCGGGACGTTCCCGTAGTGTGTGAAGAGAGTGTCTGCAGCGGGCGGCGCGGACAGGACCACCACTCGCAGCTCGGGCCGCTGGAGAAGCACCTCTCGGAGCAGACCCAGGAGAACATCCGTGCTCACGGTCCTCTCGTGGGCCTGGTCTATCACCACCACCCCATAATGCTCCAGCATCGGGTCTGACATCATCTCACGCAGCAGTACGTCATCAGTGCAGTACCTGCAACAAACCACGCACATTGGCTTTTAAAAAAGAGGTGCAATATTATCAGCATTATCAGCATTATCCGGGCCTGTTCAACAAAAATATGTGCAAAAAACAACTTTTAATAAACTGGTTGAGACATTTGACTAGACAAAATAAATGAAAATATTGATTTTTCTTTTATTATAGTTTTTTATTAAGAGGTTTAGACATGTTTGACTGATGAAAAAAGACATTTGATTAGACAATTTTTAATAAAATAATATATGGATTTTTATCTAATGTTTTTTATTAATAGGTTTTTAGTAGTGCCGTCAAATCAATTAATCACGATTAATTGCATCTAACATAAAAGTTTGTGTTTATATAATGTGTGTGCATATAAAATTTAAATATATATAGAAAATTTTATGTTAGATGCGAATAATCACAACTAATTGATTTGACAGCACTAGGTTTTAAACATTTGACTAGATTTTTCCTATAATAATATACAAAATTAAAAAATAAAAGACATGATTAGACATTGCTTTATAAATTAAAATAAAATGTGCCTAATTCTTTTATTATTTGTTATTAATAGATTTTTAGACATATTTAACAAGGCACATTTCTATAATAAATAAGACATATTTAAATACATATTTTACCATGCGTTCTATCATCTGACAGGTTAAACATCATTCAATCTCAGTAAATTAATTTAAGTTATTATTGATCTTTTTTTTATTTTTAAATTAAATTTTTAATTAGAATTATTATAAAGCATGCAGCAAAACATTATATTTTGGTCAAATCTATATGAAAAAAGTTAGAAAATCTTGGCACAGATTATTCGGAAGTCCTCCATAGAGAAGTCATAGCCAGACAAATGCTTTCCTGAACTCCAGTGACCCGTTTAATAAAGCAAAAAGGCCTCACATTGAGGAGACGGCACATTCTCCTCATACTTTAACTGGGCAAACCAAACCACAAAACATAAAATACCCAGCATTTCAGTGTGGTTTTTCACACAGACCTGAGAATAGTGTCGTTGGAGCAGCACGTCTCCAGCGGGATGCTGTATCCGATCTCGTGGCCGATGTTGATGTCCATCTCGTCTGCGACGCGGAGGGCCAGATCTACAGCCTGGCGTCTCTGGATCTGACTGCACACCACCACACCGTTCCGGTACTGCGCAGACAGACAGAACTCTGCACACCACTGAGGGATCTACGGGACAGGGGAAACGCATTATAGTGCATGTGGAAGCCTTCAGGTAACAATTATGACAACTCTCCTCTCTCTATGTGCTACACACACTGCTTTGGTGTCAGTCTTTCTCTTCCGGAGGTCGATGTTAAAATCTGTCCTCAACTGTGTAACAGCTGCGGGTTTGAGATGTCTGGGCATCTGCTAAGGACAGGTCAGGTCAACTTAACAGATGCACGGCTTCCTGTTTCTACTCAATAGATGTTTACAAACTGCAAAATCATAATGCCAGAATATATGCATTAATGCAAAATCAACAAATCAAAACATTTTTAATCTTTCAGAAGATAAAATGGACAACTGTAAAGATGAAGTATATATCTCACCATTTAGAAACAGTGGAATCCATTCAAGGACAAAAAAAGAATAATATTTAATAATAATCTAATCATTTAATTTAATAATTTAAAAGATTCAGGACTCATAATTAGGGCATGAAAAGACAAAAAAGTTTAGTCAGACAAAAATAAAAATATTTTCATTTTCAATTATTCTTAAAACAGAAAAATTGCACAAGATTAAAAGACTTCATAATAAGATATTCATATTTTCAAAGAAAAGTATTTTGATTGGTTCTATTGATAGATTTTTGTTTTGTTTTTAAACCTAACACTGAATTATTTATAGTGCCACCAAATTAATCGCGTCTATATATATATATATATATATATCACACATCAATATACATATACACACACATACATACATGCATACATGATACACGCCTATTTATTATATAAACACAAAGTTTTGTCCTCCGCTGAATGAACACTATTTGTTCAAACACAATGGTTGTAATTGAATGACTCCCTCCACAGCAAACATTCTCATGATACACAACTGATGACCTCATTTAAAATGATTAATAAAGTATATTTGCTCAGATTTAAGAATCACGATCAGGCCAAATGCAAACAGCAGGTCTGAGACTTATATCATGCAATGGAGAAACAGTGTTTATCTATTATGTTCTAGAATGTCTGGAATCTAAATGAAATTGGCCACAACCTGCAGGATTTTAAACTGGAAGAGGGATTTACTGAATTAAAACAAAAAATAACTGAAATACTGCTCATTAGTCAAAATACAAGCTTTTATACAAGACATTACATCATTGATTTGGACTCATTATGCATAGTTATTATGCCAAGAAATGTAGAATAGGGCCTTTTCTCAATTGCTTAGACATAAAACACTATCAAACCAATTAACAGACACTTTAATTTTCCCATAAATTGCCAATAATAAAGCAATACTTATTAATACTGACACACTATACGACAGTAAGCAAGTAGTTCAACCTTTCAAACTCATGGCAGTGTGCAGGCTTTATGTTTCTCTGGACTATTTTTAGTGCTTCTTATTAATGTGCTGAAGTTAAAACTGATGCTATATTTACACTTTCCTGAGATTACTCAAATGTGAATGAAGTGTGAACTTCAACAACAGCCACATGTAAAATCAATGACGCATTTTAGACAGTAAGAAACATATAAATAGGCTTATACAAATCGTCACAACCCATTAAAAAGTTTAGCATTTTGACATTTAAAAAGAGACCAAAGTGATGTGTAAACACGTGATAAATAAGCATGCTCACCTGTGTGCTTTTGCCAGTCCTGGTTGTTCCTGAAACTATAATAATCTGATTCTTTTCCAGCAGAGTCATGAATTCATGTCTGTATTTCCACACAGGCAGAGTTTTCCTCTCCTGCAGGAGTCTGTAGTATCTGGACGAGTATGGCAACCCATCAAACTGATTGAGCTCCAGATCATCTCCAAACTCGAACAGATCACAGTCAGATTCCTCCTCCTCCTCTCTCTTGAGTTCTCCTTCTGATATCTCACTGTTTCCAGCCATGCTGGACACGTGTGGTTATTATAAACTCACTCGATCGGATGCTTTACACCTCTGTGCTCGTGCATGTGTCCTAAACACGCTGTTGGAAATCTCACAGCACTGTCTGTGTGGAAACGCTGGTGCGCTCTCGTGCGCGCGCTCAGGGACGCTGTCGTGACCGCGGGCGCGTGACCTGCCCAGTTAATTAAGTCACATCGCAGCTGCGCATGATCACAGATACATACAACCACAGGTGAATGAGAGCATAATACTGTCATTATTACCATCATAAACAGTTATTTTATTTCATATATTGGCTGTATATTAACTGACTATAACAAATACACTTTAACTGTCAATAAGAAATGTTCACTAAAAAGTGTGACAACTAGCCCCGGCCTCCCAGCATTATATAAAATGTTAAAGATCATATCATCAAGAGCGTTCCACACGCTTGGCAACGTGACGTCAGCCACAGAGCACCGCAGTGGCTGATGGGTAGCGCCGCCATATTGTGAGGCCATCTCGCCATTCCTCTCAATGGACCGCTATTATATAACGTTAAAGTAAACATTTAGATTTATTTTACAGTTATGGGAAGAGCTTGTTGTGTTGTCGGTTGTGAAAATGCTTCTGGAGAAAGGAGCCGATCTGAACATCCAGAACAAGGTCTGAACCTCCCATAACCAAAACCAGACCAAACACACAGCAAACTGAATCTGAAACATCTCTGTTCAAAGTCTCCATTTGCTCATTATTTCTATCTGAGATTATTTAAAGGAGTAAAAAAGTCATCCAAGATGTCCATGTATTTCTTTCTTAAGTCGAAAAGAAATGAAAGTTTTTGATGAAAACATTCCAGGATTTTTCTCCACATAATGGACTTCAATGGGAACCAAACGGTTCAAGGTCCAAATGAGAGTTTCAGTGCAAACTGTTCAAAGGGCTTTAAACGATTCCAGACGATGAATAAGGGTCTTATCGAGCGAAACGAGTGGTCATTTGAAAAATAAATAACAAAGTTTAAGTTTTATAAGCACAAATGCTCGCCTTGCTCTGTTCTGTGTGACTCTCATGTTCGAACTCGTTCATCAAAATGAACTAATCTTTTTAGAGTCATTTCGTTCATTTTGTTCGTTGAATGAACCAAATGACTCGAATGAAGATTTGTTCATTTTGATGAACGAGTTCGAACATGAGAGTCGAGCAAGGCGAGCGTGAACCATTTGGTACCAATTGAAGTCCATTATATGGAAAAAAAAACATTTTCATCAAAAACCTTAATTTCTTTTCGACTGAAGAAAGAAAGATGTGGATATCTTGGATGACATGGGTAAATTATCAGCAAAAGTTTTTTTTAAAAGTGAACTACTCCTATTTCTCTTTCATAGACCAAATTATCTCATGATGATGAGCTACAATATACATTTATTTCAAGAAAACAACTATCATTGTGTAAGACTTGAATACTGAAATGAATCTCCATTACGTCTCCTGAGTTTGTCGTCATCATGAAGCAGATGTTGTGGATTCATCTGTGACTCTCTCTCTCTGGTTTTAGGTTGGCGTTAGCGCTCTGGAAATGGCCAAAGCATTTGAAAGAGAGGTAAACGCCATTCTTCTTGACACAAATGAGCAAGTACTTAAATCACTGATCATATTTCTTTATCATTTCCTTCAGAACATCCTCAGTCTGTTGTTGGAAGAGGCAGAGACTAAATGAGACGAACCACACATGGGTTTCATAAACAACTTTATGCCGACCGTATGTGTGTTGCAGACATCAACGTACAGCATCTTATTTCACATTTCTTGATTAATTGAAGATTTGTCATAAAAAAAGCAGTTTACACCCGTGACACTGAATAAAAAGGGCGTTACATGAGTAGGTTTACTGAGATACAACATGATTGAATAGTAAATGATAACTGTAATTAAAACAAGCAAAAGGCAGTTAACCTAGAGACACGTGATCTTCATATAATCAATCAGCGTCTAGATCTGAACAGTCGCTACTGTAATGCACTGTGCGGTTTAACTGTAAAAAGGCAACAGGACACTTTAGATGTCGTGACGTCTGCTAATACAGTGAGTGAAGATGAATTTACAATGTAAACAGTGAGAAATAATGGCAGATGTCCAGGCCTAAAAGACCCACACTTGAGATCATAAATGGCTCAAATACCAGAGTTTCAGTGCCAAACATCAACTGGAGGCTGAAATATCCCACACGTATTTATTTATTTCCATCCATTTCAACTATTTTGTATGGAAGCTTGTTTTCACCACAGAATGAAAAATAAAAAAGGTAATTGCGACTTTTTTTCTCAGACTCGTGATATAAAGTCAGAATGGATTGATAAAAAGTCGCAATTGCGTGTTATAAAGTCAGAATTGTGAGATATAAAGTCAGAATTGCAAAATATAAATTTGAAATTGTGAGATATAAAGTCAGAATTGCAAAATATAAATTTGAAATTGTGAGATATAAAGTCAGATTTGAGTGATATAAATATAAACTGCAAAATATAAAGTCAAAATCATAATTGTGAGATAAAACCATTCTGGGGGGGGGGGGCACAGAGATTCTGAGAAAAGATGTCAGAATTTCGAGATATAAACTCGCAATTATTTATTATAAAGTCAGAATTGACTTTATAACAATTGGACACAATTGCGGGACACAATTGTGACTTTATTTCTCACAATTGCGACTTTATTTCTCAGAATTACGACTTTAAATCTAACAATTGTGACTTTATTTCTCAGAATTGCGACTTTATTTCTCAGAGTTGCGACTTTATATCTCTCAATTGCGACTTTATTTCTCAGAGTTGCAACTTTAAATCTCACAATTGCGACTTTGTTTCTCACAATTGCGACTTTATTTCTCAGAATTACGACTTTAAATCTAACAATTGTGACTTTATCTCAGAATTGCGACTTTATTTCTCAGAGTTGCGACTTTAAATCTCACAATTGCGACTTTATTTCTCAGAGTTGCAACTTTAAATCTCACAATTGCGACTTTATTTCTCACAATTGCGACTTTATTTCTCAGAATTGCAAATTTATATCTCATAATTGCGACTTTATTTCTCAGAATTACGACTTTATTTCTCTGAACTGCGACTTTAAATCTCACAATTGCGACTTTATTTCTCAGAATTGCGACTTTATTTCTCAGAATTGCGAATTTATATCTCATAATTGCGACTTTATTTCTCAGAATTACGACTTTATTTCTCTGAACTGCGACTTTAAATCTCACAATTGCGACTTTATTTCTCAGAATTGCGACTTTATTTCTCAGAATTTCAACTTTATATCTTGCAATTGTGACCATTTCTCAGAGTTGCGACTTTATATCTCGCAATTGTGACTATTTCTCAGAGTTGCGACTTTATTTCTCAGAATTGCGACTTTATATCTCGCAATTGTGACTATTTCTCAGAATTGCAATTTTAAATCTCACAATTGCGACTTTATTTCTCAGAATTGCGAATTTATATCTCACAATTGCGACTTTATTTCTCAGAATTACGACTTTAAATCTAACAATTGTGACTTTATTTCTCAGAATTGCGACTTTATTTCTCAGAGTTGTGACTTTATATCTTGCAATTGTGACCATTTCTCAGAGTTGCGACTTTATTTCTCAGAGTTGCAACTTTAAATCTCACAATTGCGACTTTATTTCTCAGAGTTGCAACTTTAAATCTCACAATTGCGACTTTATTTCTCAGAGTTGCGACTTTATATCTCGCAATTGTGACTATTTCTCAGAATTGCAACTTTATATCTCGCAATTGCGACTTTATTTCTCACAATTCTGACTTCATATCTTGAAATTGTGAGATAAAAAGTCGCAATAATTATTATTTTTTTTATTCAGTGGCGGAAACAAGCTTCCATATTTAACTTTGCAGTATTTCTTATTAAAGTGCACCATTGTTCAAAACGTTGGGGTCAGTAAGATTTTAATACTTTTATTCTGCAAGGATGCATTAAATTGACAGTAAAGACATTTATAATGTTACAACATATTTCTATTTCAATTCAATGCTGTTCTTTTGAACTTTCCATTCATCAAAGAATCCTGAAAAGAATGTGTCACGGTTTCCTCCAAAAATATGAAGCAGTTTTTAACATTGATAATAATCCAAAATGTTTCTTGAGCATCAAATCATCATTAGCATGATTTCTGAATGATCATGACACTGAAAACTGGAGTAATAGTTCTATTCTAATGAAATACTAATGAAAAAAAAAAAGACTTTTACTCAGAATCGCGACTTTATATCACACAATTATGACATTATAACTCGCGATGTTATATCACGCAACTCTGAGATAAAAAGTCATAATTACATTTTTTTTTATTTTGTGGTGAAAACAAGCGTCCATAGAAAGCAGCTATTTTAAATTGTAAAAATAATTCCCCAGTTTTTACTGTATTTTTGATCACAGTGAGCAGATAAACTAAAATATTCTTACCAACCCCAAACTTTTGAACAGCAGTGTTTATATGTTCTCTCGGTGAAACATCAGGACACAAGAGTAATGAAAGATGTTTGCATTTCAATATTCATCAGCGTTCATCATTCTTGCTATTCAATTAAACCATTTATTATGTTGCAGTTTCTCAAAAAGTTTTCAGTTACCGGAAAAGTATATACTCACCAAAGCCAATTTTGTGCTTGGTTTCAATGTTGATAGTAATTCATGAACATAATCACTCCTATTTTTAAATCATTTGTGCACTTCCTTTAGTGCAGTGTTTTCATTTACCCTGACAAATCGCCCATGAAACTCAAACCCCCACTGACCGCAGCGTGTTTGAGGGAGACCACAGGGATTATGGGAATATTTAGAGAAGGATTCATATGTCTGTTTTCATTATCCACAATCCAGTTATAATGCTCCCTTATTTAGGTTGATGAGACAGAAAGTCCTTATGTAATTCATTTCCCCACAATAACTATTTTTTAAAGTACGTCCAGTATATGAGCATATGACTGCATGGCCATGAAATCAGGGCCGGTTTGTCTTTCTGTGTCTCAGATCTGTCCAGTAAACACATGCGGTCAGTACAGGTCTCAAAGCTGAACGTCTATCTGTTCCTCTTCCTCGTGAGCTTCGAAATCAACAAAAGCTGCATTAAACGTGTTGCAAATGTTTTCATCCTCTCAAAAAAAGGAGAGAGAAACAAGACTCGTTTCCCTCTGCGCATGTCCAGTTCATATTTCACCTCAAAATCAAAAGGAATATGCAAAAAATTAAAACAGATTGTTTTAAAGACCCTTTAAAAGTGATATTTTAAACCCATTTTTTTAGCCAATTTCTCATTATTGAAATACAGTAATGAACATCATCCTGCCCCAAATGATCATTTTCCAGATATTTTTTTTTTTAATTTAGCATAAATATATTTATATATTGGATATATTTTGTAGTGGAATTTAAATCAGTCTCATATTTGATGAAGTCTGCATCATTACATTTACATTAAATCATTTATGTTCACATTTACATTAAATCAATCTGTTGCTTTGCTGTTTATTATATGCTTTAAAAATAAAGCTGACTTGAAAAAAAAGAAGCCTAGTTTAAAAAAAATAAATCACAATAATAATATATTTTAAACTGTAATATTAATACACCATGATCATTTTTTATGATAAATTGCTCTGATTTAAATACAAAAAACTATTTCGTATTTTTTCCAATTCTAATTATGATGATTCTTATATCAGTAATAATACATAGATGATAATTGGAATAAAAAAAATATTTAGATGCATTACATTAATGAGAATATGAGAGTAAAAATACATTAAAAACCTCACCTAAAAGAAAATGTAAATGCAAAATGTATTAGTTTTTCTTTTACGTTGGGGTGAAATGTGACCCGGATATGTTTTTAGTGAGATTCAACTTCATTTCAAAGTATTTTTCCTAGTTCCTTCAACATCCCTTAAGTATCACTGCAATCAGGTTTAATCATGTCTGAAATAGACAATAAAAGTGGCTATTAAATCATATTAAATTGTTAAAAAGCCCTTTTCATATATACCAAAAGACATCACAGACTCAGAACCATAAGCAAAGTACAAATCCAAATTCACGTTTGCATTTCAGTCAGGTTTCAGTCCAGTTTAGTGTCCACGTGATGTGGTTCATGTTCACAGATAACACGTCTTCTCCTTCCTCCGCTGGTACACGGTCGAAAAAGGTCCGAACAACAACAACAGCAACGACAACAAAAGGTCAATCTGGTAAACGTGGGCGAACCACCGATTGCTACGATTGAGAAAGTGTCATCCACAGTGCACTGTGCTCAAATAAATACGCTCGTAACCGACATAAATAACGCGTGACATGTACCTGAGCTTGGACTCATAGCACCGTTTTGAGGGGGTCAAAGGTCACCCCTCACATCAGGACTCTGACACGCCACGTGTCCCGCAGAGGTTCATAGTGCAAAAAGCGAGTGTCTCCAGGGCCGAGCGAGGTCTCTCAGCTGCTGAACTTCACTCCGGACGGGAACTGAGGCTTCGGCAGCGTGGGCGGCTGTTTCGGAGGAGGCCTGCTAAACAAAACGTTCATCATTTAGTGTTTATTTATCTATTATATATGCCACAGGACATTGTATAAGGCATAGTCTATTTTAGTCTTATTTATTGTACAGTAATTCTGAAGAACGGTACTTCTTTGCTGTTGTAAACCGTAATTTTCAAACTGTGGGACAAATAAAGCTTATCTTATCTTGTCTTATCAATG